TGTCAAATGAAAGAAGTGGATCTGGTAACTAAAATATTGGAATATGAGTTACCATTGCGATGGGGAAAAATCATTGATCTTGTACCCGATGTATGAAAAGAATTTTTATTGGTCCAAGAATCATTTGAAAGAAAAATGAAAATCTATATGTGCTCCTGCAGTAGCAATATAATCTTAGAGGTTTTACAAAGTGTAAGTTAATTTCTTGTTAGTTAAAGGTGAAAAATGTATTGGACTTGTGATGATGAGAAATATTATATAATTTGATCCAAAGGCTGTTGTTTCATTCCTAGAAGCGAATGAAAACAAACCATTCTTAAAAGTGAATGGATCGAGACACACCATTATATTAATATAATTTGGTGTTTGGATAATGACAATCAGCAAATATATCTTTTCACCGGAAGTGAAAGATAAAATAATTATAAATGAGGATGATAATTTATGTAGCAAAAGTCATGATCATATACTGTAACCTTCGTATGCCGAAATGTGTTATGAAACACATATATGTTGTTGTTGTTGTTGTTGTTATTATTATTTTGTATATTTTTGTATATAATGAATATTTGCAAAAGTCAATACTGGTATTATATCATATAGTATGAAAGTAAGGAAAAGCTCCGGAAGAGATTGTGTTTTGTTACTTGAAGTAACTAAACAATATATTGGTGATATTCATAGTATGTAAATATTCTTATCACTATGTATATGCGCTTACAATAGTTTACCGAATCAGAAGGTGCCTCATGGCCAAAATGTAGTACAAGAATATGTGAAGGCTCCAGAAGAGCTAATGTTTTGAGACATGAATGAACTAAACTGTCAATTGAAGATGCATTACCGAATTATGAAGATATTCGCAGAAAAGAATATCATAATTGATATTGCATCAGAAATGTGTTATAAGAGAACATATACTTAACTGGAGAAATTTGTACTACATGTATATTAGTACATATGAAAGTGTAAACTAGAAGTTTGCAAGATCGGATAACTTTTTATTTTGGCATGTCCGGTCATACCATCCCGGATCCAGATGCGAAAATGGTTGAGATATCATATGGAAATTAAGTGAGAGTTCAGAGAATTCATCAATCAAAGGATTGATTATGTGATACATGGTCTCGAGGAGACTATACTCGTGAGAATAATTGAATCTGTTGAGATTTTATAAAAGTGTATGCAGAAAAATACACTCACCGTGCAAATCATATATGAATTTTATGATTTTGATTGATTCATCAACTATATCGTCATATATGTCTGTTATCTAAACGCAACCTGATGTTTGCGAGATTAGTTGCCGAATGATGGATATATTTTGATGATTATCCAATCAAACAGAACTTCTCTTATGAGAACAAACTAAGTCTATCGATCTCTTATCGAGGCTTATGATATCATTAATTCGCATGAAGCCAACAAGTTATCATAAGTTCCCCCTTTTCATACAAATGGTTTTGGTCAGGGACCAAATATTTAAACTGCTAGAAAATTTGGGTGTGCATAATACATCTCAATTGCTCCACCACAACACGTTATGAGTTTCATGAGAACTTATGTTGGACATGGTGTCCAATGCAATGAGAGATTTTTTCATGACTCTTTTGCTAACATCATCATTTTGACGAGTTCCTTTTCGAACGTTAAGGGGGAGAAAAGTAAACAGTTGGGCATAGATGTGAGTTGGAATCATCATTATCGCATTTTGATCCTCAAACGAAGAAACATGAACCCGAAGTTCATATGGTGATTCATGGAGAAAAAAACGTATTGATTGCCAAACGCCTTTTTGCTCACTAAAAGGAGTGATTATGTCACATGCCCATTTGTGAATACTCCAATACAAATTGATGTCCATATTGGATAATCTAATGAGTCTAAACGAGCGCATGAAGCGTGGTAGACCAATCGGTTCCAAGGATAGATATCCTCGAGAAAGGAAGGAGCTATAAATTAAGATGGTAAACTCGAGGATAAAATAGCTCTAGAAGAGTCAAGTCATAAAATTGAGATCATAGTTCCAGAAGAATAGTAGGTACCTGAACGTTTAAAATGAAGAGATCTCAATTAATTGGCTTGTATGAAGAAAGTTGGAACCGAAGTGTATTTATTGTCGACAAGGGTTTTGATTATGCTGCAGCACTGAACGTGATAGATACAAAGATGATCAAAAGTAAAAGTCTATTGATGCATGCAAAGGAATATATATTGGCCAATATAAAAGAAAGCATTAGGCTATTTGGTATAAGTTTTGGACCAGAAGTCCTTACACCTGAAGATGTAAAACTAACGGGATACAAATAGGTTTTGTGCAAATGCGTATGGAAATTGCGAGAGATATAATACAATTTCTCATGAGAGGTTTCTGGTAGAAACCTGACATCAATTATGAAGAGACATACTCTCTTGTGGTGGATGCAACTATGTTGTGCAATTTAAATAGTTTGGCAGTTCAAAAAGTATGAAATTTGCATTTGGTAGATATTGTGATAGCCTATTTGTATGGATCCCTTGATAATGATATTTATACGAAACTCCTTGAAGGATTAGTTTGCCGGAAGCAAACATGTGAAGTTCTCGAGAACAATATCGATCGATAAAGCAATCCTTTGTTTGGATTGACATAAAATGGATGAATATGGTATATTCATCTAAGTGAATATCTACTAAAGGAAGTGGTCAAATAAGCATTGCGTGATTAAATTCGAATAAAGTGCATTAGAGCATTTGCATTTTGCATGTGTGATTGTGTAATGACATATAGGCTTATGTGCGTGATATTGTGGTTTTAGTTATGTGTTTGATTTATGAATGTGGTTTGGTTAAGTGATGTTGTGTGTATGACGTGCCTTTTGCTTGTGACCTTGTGTTATGAAGTAATTGTTTGCGTACAATTGTGTTAGCTAAGTTTTATAGTTATTTGGAAGAAAAGAGTCGAGACATTATTTTATAATGATCTCATATGTTTTAGTTGATATGAACTCCAGAAGAGATTCATAAAGCATGGTTTGCTTAAAGAAAGAAAATTGAACATGGAGGATTTAAGAAGATTCTTTTTGGATTAAGACGACAATGTCGGAAAAGTGAAAGAACAATTTTGTATGGAAAAATTGCATACGTTCAATAGCCAAATGATCATAAGGTCACTAGAAGTGAACAAAGATCAATTTAGGCCTTGAGATAGAAGCGAGTTATTAGGTCCTGAAGTACCATATGCCAATGTCGTTAGAGCAAAAATGTATATTGCTATACTTCATTAAGTTATACTTTGTTACCTATTGGTAACGATGAGGATCATAGATGAGTAATTTGTTTGCTCATGGTCGTACAAGTATCTCATGGAGATTTCAAAGAAATCACAATAACAACATCATCTGATCATGAACAATGGTCAACAATTCATGAGACTTGTTATGAATTGTTTGGTTAAGATTTGTGATTCAAGGCGTCTAAATGACTTTTGGTTGCGGATTATATTCATAGAAAATGATCTTGAAGATCATGTATGAAGAAAATGGTCCTAATGGATCATGCATAAAGTGACAATCTAGAAGATTTGTTCACTAAGAAGCTTACCATGACAATATTTGAAAGATTTGTTCACAATACTATTGATGTTGTCATGAGGGGGAGCATATACGCACTGCACTCTTTTTTCCTTAACCATGGTTTTTCCCACTGGGTTTTCCTGGTAAGGTTTTTAACGAGGCAGATTCAAATAGCGTATTATGATGATTATGTACTCTTTTTCCTTCACTAGGATTTTATCCCACAGGGTTTTTCCTAGTAAGGTTTTAACGAGGCATATTCATGTCTAATGGTCATCCAAGGGGGAGTGTTATGAAAATATTATTATCATTATGGATGACCAACATTAGATGCTCCATGGTATGTTACAAGTTATATGTAACTCATCTCCTTATATTTATTTCTTCATATGACACATTAGATGCACAATTGGGTGTTACATGTAACCCCCCACCCCATTTCTATTTCACATTCATTCTCACATTCATGTATATTGATTGTAAGAATGTAGGGGTTATGTGATGTATGCCTATAAATATATGATCTCCTTGTACTAAGGAATACATGAATAAGAAAGCTCTATCCCCCCACTCTTTTTGTGTCTCTACTCTTACTCTTATGTCTGTTGCTCTTCCTTGTTATTTCACAACATCTTATAATATTTTACTTCATATTCGGATCCACTTTATATAAAATTCTGCCTAAACCACGCTTACAACATTTTCAATGAGCTTCTTCTTCTTCTTTCAACCTTTATTTCCAGGCGGTGACACGCTTGAACGGGCTTGATACTGCGGAGGTGTCGGTGTCGGTTCCGGCGGGCTCATAAATGGTGATGGTGGCGAAGAGGCTAGACTGGGCGGCGGCGGGGAAGGATCGCCGACCTATATATCAAAACGATATATATACCAACAGAACGTAATTTAATAATTAAACAATCAAAACAATAACCGGAGTGCGCGTACTAAATAATTAATTGGGAGGACAAATGATATTATGCTTATAAGTTACCAGTTTGGAGAAGCCGACGAGAGTCTGCTGGTTGCACCGCCATGAACAGAACAAGAAGAAGCAGCAGCAGCAGAAGCACCACCATTTTCTTGCTCTGACTAATTACTGCCATTTTCTCACTCTCTCTTCCAACTTCTTTTGCTGTTTGAAGTTTGGACCGATTGATCGATAGAATAGAGTGTGCAGCTCAGAGGGTTATTTATAGTTGATATGACCATGATGAGCATATATATATATATATATTTCTTTAATTTGACTAATTGACTCATGTCGTGCAACTTTTCTCTAGGTCATTGGATTAGTCGTTTCATACTCTATATGTATATACATGTAAGCATCGTTTGCTCATATTTTTATGATCAACTCGGTTTTGATCGGCCAGCTATACCGTTTTAAGTCCACAATTAGCTTCCGGTTGTTATTATATATACATGGATTTCAAAGACTCAGACCAGCCTAGGTCTTTCCATTAATGTATCTTATGAGTTTAGATGCTGCTCCTAGGCTTGTGCGCTACAAATCCATCCCCTCACGATCTCCACGAGGAGCTAAAGCGGAGCGTGCTCAGTTGATGGAGTTGTTATCTTTGTTGCCATCAAATTGGATATCCATGGGACCGGCACAATTGGTTTGGCCATTGGAGTCGTCCTCTGTCTTTTCGATTCATTTTTTTCACAATTAATTAATCTCATTAATGGTGTATTTGGAGGTGATATATTCTACCTTTCCAAGTTGGTTTGGATTTCTTCAATTCCCTCCAAGATCTGTAGTTTCATGTGGATGACATCCCTCTCGAAGATCTCTACCATCGACAACCTGAGGAAGAGAGGCATGATTCTTACAAACTGGTGCTCTCTATGCAAATGTCAAGAGGAGTCTGTCTCACATCTCTTGTTCTCGTACTCATTTTCGGCTGCAATTTGGATAAAATTTACAAAGATGCTTCTGTTTCACGGTCCGTTTCCAGCTAATACCAGTTCTTTTTCTCCTAGCTTGGAGAGGCTTGAGGTATGATCCAAAACTTAAGGAATTTGCCAAGGTCTTGCCACATGCAGTGTTTTGGTCCATCTGGAATGAGCGAAACATTATAATTTTTCGTGACTTGGAAGCTTCACACTCTGAGGTTTGCAATAAGATTGTTCAGATGGTTGGTAGATGGTTGCAAGCTTTTGGACTTATCTCTGATGATTATTTTCAGCAGTGGTTAAGGATTGGGGCAGACTGAGTAAATATTTATGATTGTTGTATTTTTTTTTTGTTCTTCTTTTTTCAGTTTTTTGTGCCCCTTTCTTGAATTTTGTCATAGGTGGGTTTTGACTTTGTTGGATAGATATGTTTTTTCTATTTCTATTTTGTAGCACGTTGTCATCTACTTTTTTTTTTTTTTATGTATTTTCTTCTGTGGTTCCACAGTTTTGTGGCATCGACTCTTTTTTTTATTAGCATGTTTATCTTATTTTCGATTTGGTAATAAAATTGAGTCTCATCATTCATAAAAAAAATTCTCGACACATTAAACTGCTTCTTTGGAATTCTTTCTGTTTTGTTTAGGTGTAGCGATCCCGACCATCTTGACAGTACCAAGAACATGATCGAAGGACTCATATACCAGAAACTTGACACGAAATTGAAGCCATTAGCTCTGCCACATTCTCTCACTCCTAGAACCCTAATCCATTCTCTCAACCAAATTGATCATTTGCTCCTCGTCCTTACTACGATTAAGGAATCATTTGAGCTAATGTCAGCAATTTTGCAGGAAAAATCGACGACAAAGTAAAACTCCGAAATAGGTATGAGAAAAATTGGAATCAACTAGCAACTAAACATAAGCAAAAGATTTGAGTGTAAATTAATATAAGCATATTATGGATACTTTGGACTAATGACAATACCAAAATCACTTTCAGCTTGAAAGGTACTAATAATAGTTAACCAACACCTTAGTTGCCAAGTTACCTGAAAAGATTGTCCTGACCGCATAGAGTGATGACCGAGTACCCCATGAAGCCATCACCCATCTCCATATTCTGCAAAGGGACATCATTTCCTGTTCTAATTTAAGCCATTGGCTAGGTAACCGGGAACGGTACGATGTGACCCAAATGGGACAAACCTGGGCTTATTAAACTTGGAAAAAGACTCTTCCTTTCGCTTTCTCTCTCGACTACAACTGCTTCAGTGTGCCTCTTCACTATCCCTGCTTCCCTCTGTTCGTCGGCTGTCAACCGGAGATTCGGCTCCTCTCGACACAAGGCTTCCTCTACTCCACTTGGGTATTTCCTTGCACTTTTTCTTCCTTCCTTCCTTCGTATTTCCGACTATTTTATCCGGCATGATAACTTTTCATCGTTGACGTTTGATTCACAATGCCGAAATTCGCTGCTGGATTGATCATTGGGTTCTTTTATCTTTGCTCTTTGGCCCACTACTTGTTTTGGTTTCAATACAACAACCTTATTTATCGTCGATGGCGATTGGGGAGTGGACTTTACTTCTTGATTGTGGGGAGGGGGTCAAGCTGATATGGTGAAATTCCTTTGATCAGCTATAGAAAAGACAAGTTAACTGAAGTGAATGTTGTTGATCGTGCCTACTGCAAAAAGAACAAGATGGACTTTCTGCCAAATAATTTTTTTTTTATGAACTTGACTGTTGTGTGATTTCAGGAGGCAGCTTCACTCCATGCATACTTGAAAAACTGGAAAGGGTTTGGCAATGGGGAAGACAGTGAAAGTCTATGGATTCCCCTCTGGTGTTACTGCCGAAGCAGCTAAAAGTTGCCTCGAAAGGCATACGGGTGAAGGTACCATTGAGGCCCTTAAGACGAGGCCGGCCAAGAATGTTCCTAGATCATATGCTATTGTTCAGTTCACAACCATTGAAAAGGCTGAATATATGTTGTCTCGCGAAGCAGGCAACTTTATTTTGGTACTTCATATCTACAAGTGCAAGCCATGGATCACGATGTTATACCTAGGCCGACGACTTTTCTTCATGTCATTGAAGGTGCAGTGCTGCACTTTGGATGTCAAACATCCAGGGAGAAGTTCTCCGATCTCTGGAGAGCAACTGATGTTTTGATGAAGTTTGGACATGGGATGAGGAAACTGCATTTCTATCTTTCTCATCATGGAACTGATTACAAGCTTGACCTCCGGTATGAGAACATATGGCAGATTGAGCTACATCGCCCACGAGGTCAACATGTGAAGTATCTTGTGTTTCAGGTTCCTCTTAAACTCAATCTATTGCTCTTCTATGTAATTTCTTTGACTTCTTTAATTTCCCCCCTAAATGCTGGTTTATAGTTTCTGCAATCAATGCATGAATTTAGTTTGTTGGGTTGGTTCAGTTGAGCTTGGAACTCGTCAGTGCTGATTGTGGTGCTAGATTTATTTAATGATCTAGTACTATATGTATATTTCCACATATACTGTTTGTTATAGAATGCTGTTGTTACTCCAACATTTCTTTCTAAACCCTTGATATCTTGGTCAACCCATTAGTTCAAAACTTTTTACCATTACTTTTAGGTTATGTTGTGTGATTGAAGACACTAGATCATAGTATTCCAACTTATGTGCAAGCTTAGTCCATGACGTTTGCAGTTCTTATTTTGTCTGTGCTGACTTCTCTCTTCCAATGTAGTTGTTTGGTGCTCCTCGGATTTTCGAGAAAGATGTGTGCATGTCATTTAATTCATATGATGGTCCTCTTTGGAATTTCTATAAGGCTGGGTCTGATGTTCAATGGGTAAGAACAACTGACTTCACACAATCTTGCCGCATTGGTCATGCCTCTTCGCTATGCTTGGAGGTTCCTCATGACTTTAGACTTCCGGATCTGGCTGATAGTGATGGGAAGTTTATTTTAGAGGATGGCAGTCCCTTTTCACAGAATCCGAGTCTAGTCCCAATTGTTGGTCCTCCCCTGAAGGTTGATTTACCTTTCGAGATTCTGTTCAAAGTCAATTTACTTGTTCAGAATGGATGCCTTCCAGGGCCTGCACTTGATGCTGACTTCTACAAGCTGGTTGATCCTCAAAGAGTACCAATTGTCTGGATACAGCTTGCCCTTGAGAAACTCTATTACTTGAAGGAATGCTGCTACGAACCTTCAAGGTGGCTTCAGGACCAGTACACGAAGCATCATGGATCTCAGAACCCTGCAAGATCACCAGCAATATCATTGGATGATGGATTAGTATATACACACAGGATTCAGATAACTCCTTGCAAAGTCTACTTTGCCGGGCCTGAGGTTAACGTCTCAAACCGTAAGCTGCGCCACTTTCCAGATGATATAGAGAATTTCATTCGTGTTTCGTTTGTCGACGAAGAACTGGATAAAATTCATTCAACAGATGTTGCATCACGTGGATCTTCTGTACAGGATGCTAAGAAGCGAGGAATTTATAACAGGATTTTTTCTACTCTTGCGTGATGGTATAGTTATCGGTGGGAAGAAATTCGAGTTCCTTGCTTTCTCAGCCAGCCAGCTTCGGGAGAACTCTTGCTGGATGTTTGCTTCAAGATACGGCCTAACCGCTGATGATATAAGGAAATGGATGGGCGATTTCCGTCAAATAAGAAATGTGGCCAAGTATGCTGCCAGGTTGGGCCAATCATTCAGCTCCTCCACCGAAACACTAAGTGTCAGTGCAGAAGAAGTTGAAATTATTCCCGACATAGAAGTGAAAAGTGGGGAAACTAAATACATCTTTTCAGATGGAATAGGGAAGATATCTGCACAATTTGCCAAGCGAGTTGCAGCAAAATGTAGCTCTTGCAATGGTTCTGTCCCGTTGGCATTTCAGATTCGATATGGTGGGTATAAAGGTGTTGTAGCAGTAGATCCAACTTCAACGAAGAAACTGTCCTTGAGAAAGAGCATGTTTAAATATGTGTCTGAGAACATAAAGCTAGACGTGCTTGCTTATAGCAAGTATCAACCTTGTTTCATGAACCGCCAGGTGATCACGCTTCTCTCCACTCTGGGCATTCCAGATCATATTTTTGAAAAGAAGCAGAAAGAAGCAGTGGATCAACTTGATGCTATATTAACTGACCCATCAGCGGCACTGGAAGCTTTGGACTTGATGCCTCTCGGAGAGACCACCAATGTACTGAAGGAAATGTTGTTGTGTGGTTATAACCCTGACGATGAACCTTTTCTTTCCATGATGCTGCAAACTTTCCGGGCGTCTAAGTTGCTTGATTTACGAACAAAAACAAGGGTGTTTCTTCCAAAAGCAAGATCTATGATGGGTTGTCTTGATGAATCAAGAACTCTGGAGTATGGTCAGGTCTTTGTGCAGTTTTCTGACTTTAAGAATGACCGGTTTTCGAGAAGTGGTGTATGCAGACGCTGTGTGCTCAAGGGGAACATAGTGGTGGCTAAGAATCCATGCTTGCACCCAGGTGATGTGCGTATATTGAGGGCTGTAGATGTGCTAGCTTTGCACCATATGGTGGATTGTGTTGTTTTCCCACAAAAAGGGCATAGGTAGGTCTCTTCTCTAATATCCCTACTTTATGCATTGGATACTGGTTTTTGGGCAAATCTGTTGATTTACTTCCCCATTTGCTTTTGTTTTTGTTAGAGCATGATTCTGGATTAATCTAGATGATCACTTGTTCTGCCAAGTAGGTTAGTTAATTAGACACCTGAATCACGTGTTCTGCAGTTTTTTTGTTACTTCACTGGTAGCAGTATCAAACCTCCAGGTGACATATTTCCTCCATGTTCTAAACCACTAAACTGTTAGTTACTTGGCTCTCATTTGGCCAATTGGAACTTGGTGATCTCTATGTATGAACAATTAGTTCCTTTTAACATTGGTTGAGAATGTACATCATAATATTGATGAAAGCTATGTCAGACATCATGACACTTGCCTTTCTATCTTCATAAGAAAAGTTCATGATAGTTCAGGATTCAGGTGGTTCTTTCTAGATGATGGCCAGCCCACTTCACGGGAATAATGATATGCCTTCTATTTGATTCCTTTCTTCAGTAACCTTTTATGTTTAAAAGAATGTCATTCATGCCAATGGTCTGTGTTCAAACTTCAGGCCACATCCAAACGAATGCTCAGGAAGTGATTTGGATGGAGACATCTACTTTGTTTGTTGGGACCCTGAACTGATCCCTCCTAAGCAAATCCCACCGATGGACTATACCCCTCAACCAACTGTGCAGCTGGATCATGATGTTACCATTGAGGTACCTTATATACTACACACCATGTAGCGAGTATGACTATTTGGTACTGCCTTACCAAAAGATTCCATCATTTTTTTTTTTTTTTTTTTTGGATTTCAGCTCTCCAAACAATACGTGTTCTGTTGTTGCAGGAAGTTGAGGAATATTTCACCAATTACATAGTGAATTACAGCTTAGGAATTGTTGCGCATGCTCACATTGTCTTTGCTGATAAGGAACCTCGGAAAGCCATGAGCAAACCATGCATAGAACTAGCACATAAGTTTTCAATTGCAGTCGACTTCAACAAAACTGGAGTTCCAGCCGTGATACCTCCTCATCTTCACGTCAAAGAGTATCCAGACTTCATGGAAAAGCCTGAAAAACCAACATACCAATCCTACAACGTCATTGGGAAGCTTTTCCGAGAAGTGAAAGACATTGCTCCGCACACCAGCTGTGTCAAGTCCTTTACTAAACAGGTGGCACGCCAGTGTTATGACCCTGATTTGGAAGTGGATGGGTATGAAGCTTACTTGGCCGATGCCTTCTACTATAAGAGCAATTATGACTACAAGTTGGGCAACCAGATGGACTACTACGGGATCAAAACAGAAGCTGAAATACTGTGTGGGAATATCATGAAGCTATCCAAATCTTTCACCAAGAGAAGGGATTCCGAGGCGATAGGGATGGCTGTAAGGGCCTTGAAGAAAGAGGCCAGGTCGTGGTTCAATGAGAAGGGAAGCAATTTGGATTCTGAAGACGATGATGTGTATGCAAAAGCCTCGGCTTGGTACCATGTTACTTACCATCCAAAATACTGGGGAGTCTACAATGAGGGAATGAACCGGCCTCATTTCTTGAGTTTCCCCTGGTGTGTGTATGACAAGCTGATCCACATCAAGAAGAAGAAGGTCGCTAGAAGGAAGGAGCTGGAAAAGCTGGAATACCAGCTACAGCATGGTCTGCGATTGTGAGCAGCACTCTGGTTAGAAAACCAGAGGAAGGGAAGGTTTTCGTCTGTGTATATTTGCTATAGATGTCAGGTTAGAGGGTTGTGAAAAGTGCTTGGCTTTTGGATGTTATTATATCAGCAGTTTCAGGTATGTAGATATACGCAGCCTGCCAAGGGTAGTATGGCTTTTGCTAACAGTTCGATATCTGTCCAGCTTATTTTGAAATCTATGCAAAGTTTGATGCAGTGTTGGTATATGTAAATAACAAGGTAAAGTAGAGGAAGCTCGAATCCTCTCAACTTGACTTCATCCTTTGTACAAATTATAACAGCAACTGCAGTTGACTCATATGTTAGAACCTTGAGCATTTCAACTAAGAAAGAATCAGAACCATGTCTGCAACTATTTTGTCTATGGAAAGATCATCCATGGCTTCCTGGTCTGGATTTGCTTCGCCGAGGCAGGTACCGGTCCATCATCAGGATCCCTAATAGCAAACGGCCTACCGTTTAGTACCCAACTAACTAATCAATCTGACTTCGAATGCTACAACATTGAAAATGGAAGCAGTAGTGCATAGGCGAGGAGAAAAACTATATTGGATTGTTGACACAGACAAAGAAGCAATAAACTAGAAATGAGCAGAAGCTGCTTACGATCTGGAGAACTTCGCGAGGGATGAGTGGATTGGAATCCGGAAGACTGAATGAACAGGGCAGCCAGCAATGCAACAATGGATAGTAGTACTATCTTCCTCAAACCAGTACCCATTAGTTCTTATCTTTGACTTTGCTGTAACCAAACCCACGTTGGTTGTTTAATATGGCAGAGGCTTCAATATGAAAGAAACTATATCAATTAAAATCTGTGCTGGAATTCCTTGGGCCTGATCCTTGTCACGTTTAAACGATGGGCCTTGCGCGTCCCAGAACTGGAACCTTAGCCAAGGGCAAGGCCCAAAGTTGCAGCTCACTGCCGGCTCCTCCTCCGTCAACATCGCTTCCGCCGTAGTCAGATTCTCCTCCGTCCGTCGCATCGAACTCAACAAAGCAGATCTAACATAGCCTTTATCAATTTCAACGTCCATTCTCGCACCAGAGGTTGAGCGATCGCTGCAAAGCCATTATTATTGTTTCTTTCAGGCTCCAGGGCTCGCTATCACCACAAGGTATATATATATATATATCACTTTCCCTCATCCACCAGATGTAGTGTGAACTGAATAATGAATTGCGAGCTAATGATGGTCTTCCCCGCAAAGTCGTTTACTTTGAGATGCCATATCTTGTGGATTGATCAAAGTCTGAAGCTTTATGGCAACTTGTGTTGTGGGTGTCTCTCTTTCCTTCAAGCAGCCATGACATGAGCTTCGATTACCCTGATTATGATGCATTACCTTGTACTGCTACATTAGTGTGCACAACATCTGGAATGAAAGATCATGAAATTGGGGAAGGAAACTAACTATTAGAGAAGCAGATCCGGCTACAGGCTGTTCCTGGCCTGTTCTATCTATGCATCGTTCCAGTGAATAGCTTGCGAGAAAGGAGTATCTGCGAGGGTTTGAGATTGTGCATGCATCTATAACCTTGATCTTGTCCAAGCTTGGGTTTCCTGGCTGCAAGGGTTAGTACTGCATGCAAGGGTTTCCTGGCCATTGATATTTGCATTTTGCAAAGCCGAGTCTTGGAGGAGGCATCGGACTTGTTCATATGTTCTTCATTTAATCCCTCATGGTAATCATTATAAGGACTCTTTTACTTTGTTTCGAAGAGTACTCCGAATTACAGATGATTGATTGCATCTGGTGTTCTCTCACTGTAGCACTGAAAACATTTGCTGAAACTGCTACCAATGACACCGAATCCGGTTCTTAATGCTCTATTAGATGGTCTGCTTTTTAGTTAGATCTTGTTCACGGGAGAGTATGTATTGTTGCCGTATTTGGATTCTTACAATGGTTGCTAGAGTTTCCTGATGATGAAACTAAAATTTCTGTGGAGTATTCTTGTAGTGAGTCCTAAATCGTAGTTAGCATCATCCCCTTCTCACGTCACAGTTATTATTTGTTAGTATCAATCCAGAACCGAGCAGAAAGAACATCTGCAACTCTCTATCTGCATGGAAAATCCCTATCATCCTATAAAATAGAAGGCCGAGTGTAGCTCTTGGATTCTATAACTAGTAACTGAACGGCTGGTAAGCACAAGTTTGGAGAACAATCTCAAACATATCTAGGTGTTTGATAACTTGGGTGCATGCATGCATGCTTTGTTTTGCCTGTTTCTACCTGTGTTTCTCTGCAGCGGTTTATTGATTGTCGTCAGTCCTTGTGTGTAAAAGGAAGTTCAACTTGAATTAACTGGTATCTTTTATTGTGAAATGATCAAGTATTGCATTCAGTCTCAGGACATTTGACAACTTTGGATGGCTGCTACTGAAGGGGAGGAGTACGATCCAGGGAGGGATGAGCTTGCTGACTCCCTCAATGATCTCTTCATTAGCATCTGCTCTATGGTGAAAGGAGAGCTGCAGGTCTCATACCAGAAAACCACTTTTAATTAAGCCCTAATTAACACACTCTAAACTTCAACGTTTCTTTCTTACTCCTGTTATGAAGTCCTTGTACTGTTTTCTAATATCTCTGACCCTAATGCTTTTTCCAGGGGACGAATAATTCTCTCGCACTTCTCGAGAAGTTGAACCTAAGAGTAGCTGAAGAGTACGAGAGCTTTGGAGATCTGGCTTCGGGCCTGAAAGTTTTCGTCGAGCAGTTGAAGACTAAAAGCGGCAGCTTTGATATGTATGTTCAACAGATTGATGCAATAGAGCAGCAGGTGACTGAGTTTGAAGCTGTGATCTCTATGCTTGACAAATACGTTTCTTTGTTAGAATCCAAAGTGCAATCTGTGTACCAGCAACATCATCCACCCTCTTAAGTCACCTAAACTCTGTTTTCTGCTGTCATTCTTTCAATTTGTCCAAGTAAGTTTGCAAGCTCACTGGTGTGGCAATTGCATCTATTCATTTTCTGGTACTAGAGACCATTAAGTTGTGGTAAATCGAACTGTGGAGTTAAATTACAGCATCAAGAAGAACTACAACTATGCAAGAAATATAGAGAAGCCAAACTGCAACGAAAATTAGAAGCGAAGAACTTCGTTATATTATGATGATTCTCAAACGATCCCATTACATTATACAGTTTGCTTGAACCCAGAGAACAGGGAACGAAGAACAATAAAGAAATTAACGCCTACAAATTTCTCTAGGTAGCAATGACAGTTGAGCAGCAGCTATTGCTCCCTGCACTACTACCAGTACTGCAACTCCGACGCTGCAAAATGGTCTCGATCATGCTTCGAACTGTAACATTCGGCAGAAAATCATCCTCGTCGACATTCCTCGCCCCACAAGCACACGCCTTGGAACTCTTCACATAGTCACTGATGCAGCCCTTACAGTAGCTCCGGAAACAGCAACTCTTCACGAACACTGCCTCTCTCATGATCCCTCTGCATAATGGGCAGTTAAGCTCCCCCGGCACACCCACCGTCGTCGTACCACTGCTCTTGCTGCCGCCGCTGTTGCTGCTGCTGTTTGTTGTCACGCTGGAAAACGAGGAGATCCCTTCCAACTGCCTGTTGAACTCGCTCTCGGCGGCTGCACTGGGAGCTGTCGACATTGGCCGCATTCTCTTCCGGAGATCGAAACTGGGATCGCCGTTGGTCGGACAGTCCTGAATGAAGTGGCCCTTTATCCCACACCGGTGGCAGACGTAGCCGGTGGGAGGAGGCTGAGTAGAGTAAGGCGCTTTCCTCTTCCCCGTTGTTGTAGTCAGAGTCGACTTCACCGCCGCCGACCACTTTGCCAGAGCAGGAGTATTCACCAAAGCCTTGATCCTGCTCTCCTCGTCTTTGTCAACTGCGGCCTGAGCAATATTACTCTTCTTCTGGGCAGCAATATTGTTCTTCTTCTTCTTCTTCTTCTCTGTCGACGGCTTGGTCACTTGGGAAGGAATAGCGTAGACATCACCACCAAAATCATCGAAGTCGAGATCTTCGATTCCACTGTTCGTCGCCGTCATTACCGAATCCGAAGCAGAGAGAGACTTGGTTTCTTGTTCTGCTGACTTTACTTCCTCCACCGCCGGCCGGAGATCAATCGTCGTCGTGTTGAGAGGTTGACGGCGGCGGTCTCCTGGGATCCGCCGGAGGAAAACCGACGCTTTGTCGAAGATCAGCGCGCTTTCGTCGGAGTAAGGGGTATTGGTTTGGGGATCAATGATGGAGAGATCGTGATCCGTACCCAAACAGCAACCGTTCCAGACACTGTTACGGCGCCTGGTTTCCAGCTGGGATTTGGATTTGGGATCAGCAGATCGATCTTTGAAATTGGCTTTGAAAATCGCCAGTTTCAGATCCCCGACGTTTACGTAAGGCCCCTGTATTTGGATCTCGGAAAAATCCCTAGAACTCAGAAATTTGTACCGCACCGTCGTAGTCATCGTCGCCGCCATTGTTTTAGGGTTTCGGTTTTTTCTCTAAACCAGATTATTCAGAAATCAAAATCAAGCTTTGGAACGAAGGTATAGCGCAACACAGAGAGATCCAGAGACAGGTGTAAATGAATGAACGAACAATGAACACGCAATCGGAAACTATGTTGAGAATCTTCCGTTCAAGATATCAATAATGAAAGTAATCGGAGAGATGGACAATTTCTTTTCGACAATCGGAGAAACGGGAAATAACAATTGTAAGCAAATTCTGTAGCAAACTCAGAAGCAATTACAAATTTTTTTCAGATCTCGAACTTTGAATCTCGGAAGCGCCAGTGATACTGATCTCCGTCGGGGCTCCGAACGGCTTCTGATCTTCTCTTGCCTTGCTTCAAGTCGCCGTCGCCGTCGCCGTTGGCTACCTCCGATGAGAGAAACAGGAAGAACGCGGATTGGGAGTGGATCAGTTTCGCCGGATCGAGACTAGTTATGGCGAAGGAACGCAGCGAAGTTTCTGGAATTTGGGAGGAAAATAAGTAAGTGGGAATAACTAAAAAAAGGGGCGAGTGGGTATAAATAGATGAAGGCTGGGTAGTGGACGCTCTTGCGTAACAAGGAAGCCAAACGATTAACCGTGTTATCCCTGGATTAGGAGCGGTTAGCCGGTTACCGCTTACCATGTTGAAAAGTCAACAAGGTTTTGAAATTTGATATTTGTTTCTTTCCAAATTCTAACGGGTAAATTACATGATTGGTCACTGAGATTACTAAAAACGTTCATGTTTGATCATCTCAAATATTTAATTCTATTCGTTGTCACTAAAATTAGTAAAACAGCTCATGTTTGGTCACTCTCCGTTCGTCTCCATCCATCTCCGTTAACTAAGTCTGTTATGTGCTGACGTGGCAGACAGAATTGCCTGATAAGCCTAACTTAACCCGAAAACAGTAAAATCCGACCCGCCACGTCACTAAAATCCGTCACATCATCTTGTCCATCCCAACCCAACTCTTGAACCGGACCGACCCACGTACCCATGAGCTTACCCACTCAACCAAAATAAGGGTTTATCCCTTTTTACTCTTCGTCGTCTTCGTTACCAAATCCACCGCCATCAGACCCCTCAATCACCTTTGAGATCTCCATCGGCTACAAGCTCTCCGGCGCCATGCTCTTCTACGTCGCGTACGTCTCCAACAGGCATCTCTTCTCCGATGTCGCCAATGCGAACACCTCCTTCCCCAAATCCTTGCATACAATCTCCGCCGCTGCAGCAGAATTCAAATCAAAATCAAATTAAATTTAAAGGAAACAGTTTCCAATTTCAAAGGCAAGGGCAGGGGGTCTGTTATAAAATTTACGTTATCTAAAGAGAAGGAGGAAGAGAAGCACCGACAATTTGAAGGAAGGCGCCATGACAAGAATTGGAGTCGGAATAGGATTTTCGATGGATAAAATTGGATTTTAAATGATAGATTGAAAGAATGGGGATAGGGTATTTGGATCGGGAGAGAGAGGTGGGAATGGAGATACGGGAGGCAATCAAGACGCATCTATATAATGAGCACCTTCCCCGGGGCTCTACATGTCCGCGGTGTCCATTTTTTATATGAAGAAAAGCACCGGATTTATCAGAATTTACCAGTGTTTGTAGTCGATGGAGATCTCAACGGTGATTGAGGGGACGACGACAGCGGTGAATTTGGTGACAAAGGATCTGTTAGTCGGAGCGGGAGGGGTTTGAGGGAGGAGGTGGAGGCGATTCAGATCGGCGGAACAATGAAGCTTTCGCGGCGGCCAATCCTCTTCCTCGTCGGTGTTCAAATCATGAAAAAGGGTTTGTGATATCAAAGTCAGCCGAGATTTAGGTCAATTACTCAATTTCGCCAAAAATGAAAAAAATCGGACCGGTGGTTGAATTGGGTTAGGTTCTATTCTATAGTGGTATGACGTGGATGTCCGGTTATATGATGTGGTGGGTTAAATTGGGTGACTAGACATGTCTGTTAGCCACGTCAGCAAAAAACTAACACCGTTAATGGAGAGTGACCAAGCTTGAACTGTTTTACTAATATTGGTGACCATAAATGGAATTAAATATTTCTAGTGATCAAACATGAACGTTTTTAATAATCTCAGTGACCAGCCTTGCAATTTACCCAAATTCTAACGGATGGAAAGTTACTTTTCTCATTTTTATATGTATAATATGTTCTTTTATTAGACGACCGGACATCGGCCAATAGGAGGAAAAATGTCAGTTTTATCCCTTTTTTTATTTCTCTGGATCTCTTCAAAGTTAAATTATTAGAATTACTTAACTATATAAAATAACAAAAAAAATAAATGAAATTATTAGTGATATTTTAGACATTTGTATCGTCCAAACCAAAGTTCGGCCATGATTAACGATTTTTGGATGAAATTTTAATAGAATGACATACCGTTTGAAGAATATATATTTTATGAACGGTCAATAGAAAAATTGTTTTTTCCTATAATGTTAGTAAGCAGAAAAATTAAGCAGATTCATTCAAAAACAAGGAAGAGTTAGCATCAAATTTACACAACAAAATTTCTTCCAACAATTCGCTTTTGTGAAATAAGTTGTACGATCTATTGAGAAATGTGATTAGAAGATCGGGATCCCAAATTCTAACCAACAGGGGGGGAAGAGTTTCCAAGGGGTGAAGATCGAGATCAAGGAACGTTCCACCCGGCCGGCCACCTCTTATTGGCGATCATCCATGGCTCGCCGGCGGTGAGAAGCTGGGGCGAATGTTGACATATGGATTAGTGGCCGGTGGCTGGTTGGAAAGTTGCGAATAACCAGAAGTCTGACCTGCAACTGGGTCTGGGAGAGTTCGAAGAAGAAGCCGACATGAACAAGCTGACTGGACTCCGACGGCCAGCACCAGAAGACCCACCAGAAGGCTGCAGACTTTAGGACTAATCATCATCATCATAATCATCATCACGCTGTAATTACAGCCAGGGGAGCATGGTTAATTAGCCTTGACTCTGGCTGCTCCACATATCTATGTATACATGCCGGCAATTTTCCTGCTTGACTGAGTCAGGAGGCGCGTTCACTTTTCCATCATTTTGTGGTTTGTCTGTTTTAGCAGGTTGGCATCATATGCACGCTCTTTTTCGGGCGTCCATGTGTAGGCGTACTATTTAGCAGTTTTGCAGATTTCGATTCTAGAGCTGATCCATATATTTTAGGGTAAATACAATTTAATAATCAAATCTTTTTAAAAGGTAAAATAATGGCCAAACCGTCAATTTTTCGTCCGGTCAACTGTTTGTTGATTTTGACGCGAAAACTTTTTGCTGAGAAGTAATGAATTTAATGACATGGCACAAAATCAAACATTTAACTCGTTTCATGAACTGATTTTCTATTTGATTTCAAAAATTTGTTCTTGATGTAGCATAATGTGAAGAACGTCTTTCAACACTTGCACTTCCTTCTAATCCAAGTCCTTCTAATCCAAGGAATAACTCATCATTTTTTACATAGTGATCATAATTCTCAAAGGCGCTTTGTAGAAAAAATGAGTAAGAATCTAACTGAACTCATCAGATAAAGCCGAGTAATACTTATTAGCTTGTCCTTTGTAAAAAACAATCTAGTATTCACATCATTATTAATTTTACCCAAGTCAACAAGGGGGAGGAAGCTCGACTACCCTCTTTTGTGCACATGTTCAATATGAATTGTCTTGTCACAAATCATCACAATTGTTAAAGCCATCAAGTATTGTATCAAAGAAGAACTTCAAACACATGGATAACTTCTTATAAGCTCAAGTTAGACTTCCCCCACGTGTTAGATATTGTCATAATTGGAGAGCTCAATTAGTACAATATTGTCCGCTTTGGGTCAAACCCGCACGGTTTTACTCTTGCGTGTCCTCCCCAAAAGGCCTCGTACTAATTGGGCTAGGTGGATACTAATATACACGTGTTTCTTCCCTTGTACAACCGATGTGGTACTTGGATTGCCTCATAACAATCCTCCCCTCAAGACAAGACCACGAACTTCGTGTCCTCATCTCAGCGATTATCTTGATATGCCAGACGCCTTGTATCGAGGAGCTTCTCGGTACAAGAACTTTACCAGACGCAGAAATCTCTTTGATCCGCCAACCCTGACGCGAATCACCTTTGACCCGCCAAACAAATGCATATCTCAAACCCCGAGGTCACCAAATAAAGTCCACCAAACTACCGTCCACCGCCCTGGACCCGAACCAGTCTCTGATACCACTTGTCATAACCGGGGTGCTCCATTAGTACGATATTGTCTGCTTTGGGCCAAGATCGCACAGATTTACTCTTAGTATCCTCCCCAAAAAGCCTCATACTAATTGGGCTAGGTGGACACAGTTCGTGTTCTCATCTCAACGATTATCTTGATCCGCCAGACGCCTTGTATCGATGGGCTTCTCTTTTTGATCCGCCAAACAGACGTGGATCTCTTGGTGATCCACCAAACTAGACGTAAATCGCAAATTCCGAGGTCACCGAATGAGGGTCCCACCAAACTAATGTCCACCGCCTCACACCGAACCAGACTCTGATACCACTTGTCGAAACCGGGGAGCCCAATTAGTACGATATTGTCCGCTTTAGGCCAAGCCCGCACGATTTTACTCTTGGGTGTCCTCTCCAAAAGATCTTGTACTAATTGGGCTAGGTGGACACTAATATACAAGAGTTTCTTCCCTATACAACCGATGTGGTACTTGGATTGTATCATAACAAATATATCCACACGTACTCGTCACCCTGCAAAACTCATGCCAACACTATATTCGAACAAGGATGTTTTAGGATTTTGTCTAGAATTGGAAGTTTTACATAGCAAAACCAATAGCCAGCCTTAATTTGTTAACTATGGTGGTTCCACAGATAATCGATGAGTTCAAAATTACACTTGCATGCGCTTAATTTTACTATCAACAGCCTTCCGCTCGTCGGCCTGTATACACATTACATATCATCCATGCGTCGCCGGTGGTGAGAAGCTGTGGCAAGGATCTATCGATGAATTACTCCTGGGCGGCGAGAAGCTGCTGGGTCCTGCACCCGTCCGTTTGAACAAACAATTTGTAATATGGGCCGGGAAATTCCTCAATCCCCGAATGAAGTTAGATCTCCTTTGAACAAACAATTTGTATACTGACCTGCAACTGCAAATGGGCCGGGAATCCGACATGAACATGCTGACAGGACTCCAAGAGCCAGCAGCACCAGAAGACCCACCAGAACTCTGCCGACATTATTATGACTCAGCTTCATCTCCTTCAATAACCCAATTCGTTGGAGATCGAGGATTAATGGGGGTGTAATTAAGAGTAGTCATGATATATATGACTGCTTCAAATATGATCTATACATGTATACATGATTGATGGGTAAAATGTCACATTTGGTCACTGAGATTACTAAATCGTGTTATGTTTAGTCACTATAAAAATTTAATATCAATTTTGGTCACTCGAATTACTAAAACATGTCACGTTTAGTCACTCTCCCGTTACCTTCCGTCCAACTCCATTAATGGAGTTGGACGGTAACTAACGGGAGAGTGACTAAATGTGACATGTTTCAGTAATTCAAGTGACTAAATGTGACATGTTTTCGTAATTCGAGTGACCGGAGTTGGACGGAGGCTAACGGGAGAGTGACTAAATGTGAATTGTTTCAGTGATTTGAGTGACCAAAATTGATATTAAATTTTTCTAGTGACTAAACATGACACGATTTAGTAATTTCGGTGACCAAATGTGGCATTTAACCCGTGATTGATTTGGTCGATGTGCTTTTGACCGAGTCGCTTGCACGTTGAGGACGTACATGCATTAAGCGACGAGTTATTGTCATTTTCTTGTTTGTCTTAGGTTGTTAACGATATGCACATCCTTTTGTAAGCGAACGGTATGTATGTAGGGAAGACGACGACAGCCGTAACAAGAGAGATTCAAATGCTTGCAGATTGAACACATATGTCGTGCCCATAAAATGCCAATGAGAACATATATGAGATGAATCGATCGACGGATGCATCATGTAAAATTACAAGTTTCCCACCCTGATCTTTGCGGTAATGTGATTGAGTGAAGCCAATTGAATTGACCTCTGGGATTCTTTAAGTTCTTGAAATGAAACACGATACAGTATATGTTTGATTGTAGCCATGCAAATTAAGTCCTTATGGTAAAGTTATTTATCAAACGAAAAAAACGTGCAAAATAGGTACATACAAACACGATCAAACGATCGACCTTAATTATCCATGTCCTCCCGGACGCGACAAGCTTACTCGAGCGCCATATCCAATTTCGGTTCCTGCAATTCGATCACCCTAATTCTGTCATTTTTCATGTTGTTAATCAAATTGAAAAAATATTTATGTCGACTCTAAAAGGAACAATATCCCATCATATATCTGGAACCTGTAAATAATCATATAATAACATACTCTTATACTCAAATAGGCAAATAAATTCATAAGCTTGTGGGAGGACAAATGAACCATTGATGATGTTGTTTTTTTCTCTCTTATATAGTTGGTCCATCACATAAAACCAAACGTGATAGTCAACCAATAATATTAGAACGCTATTGATGAGAGGGCTTTTGTATTATTTTGACTTTTGAAAACATTTAGATTTACAATGGAATTATTGCATTTAAATTTGAAAGATAACATTGTTAAATGTTTTGTACCATGATTCACAAATCTCTGTCTTCCATGACCAAATACCAAATAAAATGTGGTATTTGCAAATACGTGGGGCTCACGGATTTGTATACCTCAACAAAGAATGTTTTTTTTTTTGCAAATACATAATGCTTGAGATTTAGATGCCAAATACATCACCCAAATCCCACAAGCAAACAATAATTTTCAAATCCAACAAGCAAATGAGCCTAAATGGACAACTCGATTAAAGTGATAAGGACAAAGAAACATGAAACAAAAAATAACAACAAAAAAAAAAGAGAGTAATGTACGTAGTTGATCCATTTAGTAATACAAAAGAAGATAGCACTAACGTTTGTAAAAAAAGATATTGCACTAATGATTTGTACATTCAGAATTGTTTGTCAAGTTCGAGTTCATTTTATCATAATTTTATAATTATTTTCTGAAAACTTTCTATCAGCTGGCCATTTTATAAGCCTGCAATTAATTAAGCGAATGCCAAAAATTGAACTTGAAACCTTTTTCAAATAACATCTTTAACTATTCGGACTATAATCCTGTTACCTATCGTGATTTTCCTTTCATGACCTAAATTACTCTTTGTATGAATATTTTCCATATCCTTTATGTTGTATTTGGTCATGAAAAGAGAACCATTTGATTACCATTGATGGTCCAAAAGTAAAGATAATTCTTCACATTATTGATTGAACAAAATGCATATATAACACGTACCAATATACAATCCATGAATCCACAACAATCTTATCCATGTCGGCCAATGCACGAGACACTTCCTCCCACATGAGAACAACCGTTGGGGGATCCCAATGACACTTTGGAATATCCTACAATCCGTTCACCTGTTAATTTATAATTCAAATACCATTATGTAATTATGCCAACTGACTTGTACCTAGAGTTTGTTCTGTCAAACCAAACATATGAATATGTACAGCTGGACCCAGTAGAGACTAACGTGAATAAGAAAGACTTTGGAGAGCTCTGCCTCTCCCAAATCTTATCTTAACACACTCTTATACATACAGTCTTAATTAACCTTCCAAATCAAGCATGAATCTTACAAACTTTGCGTACAATAATAATAACATGATTTAATCGGAAGACGCTAGCTGGCTGGCTACTTACCGCGTTGCAGGAGTTTGCGGGTGGACTCTGCTGGAACTGCTGAAGACAGAATGATGATCAGCAGCGCCATGAACATTACGGCTACCAGATGAACAAAAGGCAGAGCCTTTCTCGTCATCATCATCATCTTTACTGCCTCCGTATATGTGTCGATCTTCCTATCATTCTTTGCTGTGTATATATATATATATAAATAAATATAACTAAGTGGGAGAAGCGCTCTGTCGATCTCTTTATGGGTGCTGCAAATGCAATTAAACTTGTAACGAGTGGAGCCGCCAGACTTGACTATATACATTATACACACAAGTTGAAGTTAGTGGGACTTTTAATTGGTCAGTGGGAGTATACAGTCAACTTGGTGGCAGCCACCAGCCCACCACACCCGAGACTTGTTGTAAACTTATCCATTGTGCTCCACTTTCCACATCAGCTTAGCTCTCTTTCAGGGAGTCAAGATCGCATTCATCATTGACTGCATCTACAGTGGTTGACTGTTAATGTAAATATATTTTTTTCCCGTTGAATATATTAATATAATATATATTACGGGATCTCCTACAGTAACTGGAGTATAATTTCAAGTTAGTTAACTTATATGGAGTTATTTCGTTAGATCATACTTAAATAAACTTAAACCCTTAGATTAAAAAAAAATTACGTAAATACTTGTTACTGGCGCTGCCGGTCATCTCACTCATTAAATTTCTTTTATTGTCCCCGTATAAGCACACGAACGCGTTAGGGTTTTTTCCTCCTATTATTGCTTCATCTGCAGTCCCGACTCCAAATAATCTCAAGCTTCATCTTGGTTGCGGCCGCCGTCGTGGCTGCACGTGTCCTTGCTCATCAAGTCGACGACAAGCGCCTGCTTTGGATCACTCCCAGCGTACACTTGCTTCCACCGTCGTGACTGTACAAGGAGTTTATCGAGCTTCGTCGACAGTCGACTGGCTAGGCTCCCTCCCGGCGTGCGCTTACATACCTGAGACCGCAGCCGCAGCGGGGTGGTAGTTTTGGTTGCATGCTGGATAGTTATTAGGCGCCGGAGGTGCTTGCTCAATCTCTTCGGCTGTCGCTACATGCCTACATGTTGTATAAAACAAAAGGAAGAAAGAACTGCGGTAAAGGGAAGGTAATTACGCTGCTCCCTCTTCCGTAAAATTAACGTACAGTTCTTCCCTCATGTACTTACATGGTATGTTGGTGTCATTTTAGGGTTCGGGTTTAGCTTTGATAATCAATCTTTCTTGTTAAAATAATTTGGTATGTTGGTGTCTGTGCAATATTTAAAATTGTAGAGAAGGCCACTAATTATAGCTGGTCAAAGAGCCACAGACAAAAAAAAATTCTTGGAATTAGCGGGAAGAAACTTTGGAGGTGCATTCATTATACTACTCACCAATTAATCAACCTGAGCAATCATTTTACCGCTGCTCTTTAGAATAAGAAGATGTTTTTTTTTTTACAAAAGATAATCATATATTGATACTAAAAAATAGATCATTACAACGCCTGCCTCAACCAGGTCAAAAAATCAAACGAACGACTCGCTATCGGGTACAAAGAGAGGGCTTTTCTAGCCACCAAGTGGGCTACCCTATTACTACGCCGACCAACGAACCGCACACTAAACCCATCCTTCTCCGCCAAGTACAGCAACACCTCCCGGAAAATGGCTCCCGCCATACCATCACTCCCTTGAGCCATAAGCAGTCTATCCACTACCACCTTCGCATCCCCCTCAAAGCGGACAAAGAACAAGCCTCTACTCCGACACCAGAGAATTGCGTCCCGGAGCTCCAACACCTCCACAAGCATTGGATCATCAATCTCTGGGAAACACACCCCCCTCGCACCGAAAACCACCCCATCAGGGCCCAGCAACACCATCCCTCCAGCCGAATGAGAACCTCTCTGTACTGCTCCATCCCACCTACAGATGAGAGAGTCCGGGCTACCAGACGGCCCACCCATGCTTGCCCGCCCAGGGGCAACCCCCATATTATCTCTTGGAAGCGACTCCCACTCCTCCACTTGCTGGTGATACTGACGCATAAGAGCTGGCATATCAAACTGCTTACCTTCAAAAACTACCCAGTTCCGAGACTTCCAGATCCGCCATAGCACCGCTACAATTGCCATGACCTGGGAAGAGTCCCTAACGATGGCTAGGAGTTTCTTGAGGAAGAGAGGAAAGTTAAGACGAGGCAAGACCTGGCCCACATGCTCTAAACCCGCTAAATCCCACAACGCACGAGCCACACGGCAGTCTAGGAATAGATGTTCCATAGTTTCCGGCGCACTCCAGCACACGGGACAACGAGGATGAACATCCACCTTCCTGCCAATGAGCGCTTCCGTTGTCGGGAGGAACCTATTTAGAACTTGCCACAGGAACACCTTTAACTTAGGCGGGATCCCCAAGTTCCACACACGCTTCCAGCTTCCCCGATCCATCCAACTCACCACCGGTCGTCAACCCCCAGACTGCTGGTCTAGCCGAACCGCCAGGTGATAAGCTGATTTCACAGTGAAATTCCCATCACCCGTCTCATGCCAGACCAACCTGTCATCCATTGCCCGACAAGGCAGAGGGATCCGACGAATAGCAAGACAGACATCCGGGGGGAACCATACTTCGAGCTTATCCAGTACCCAGCCCCTCTCAGTCGGACAGATGAACTCAGCCACCTTCAAATCCACTCCCTCCGCTAGTACTCGGGGACTAAACCTAGGGGGATCAGGGTGGAGCGAAGGTACCCAATTCTCTGTCAGGGCCGCTACCCCTCGCCCATCCCCAATCTGCCATCTCAGGCCCTGAACCAACAGTTGCCTCCCATGCAGGATACTCTGCCAACCCCAGGAAGGCCGAGAGCGAGGGGTTGCTAATAGGAAATCACCACGAGGAAAATACTTCCCTTTATATACCTGTGCCAGGAGGGATTGGGGATCAGTCAGAATCTACCAACCAATTTTAGCCAGGAGAGCTTGATTGAAAAACTCAAATCGGCGAAACCCCATGCCACCCTCGTGCTTGCTCTGACACATCCTACGCCAAGACATCCATCTAATGCGTGAGTGCCCATCCTCCACGCCCCACCAAAACCGGGCAACCAGCCTATCCAAAGTACGACAAAGCGAGAGGGGCAACTTAAAGCAGGACATCACATGGAGCGGTAGAGCCGAAGCCACAGACTTGATCAGAGTTTCTCTAGCCGCTGCTGACAACGATTTCTGAGCCCATCCCTGAAGTCGGGCTATCAACCGCTCCTCCACAAAACGAAAAGTGGCCGTCTTAGAGCGAGAGATGAGAGACGGTAACCCCATGTACTTATCATGGACCCCCACCGCCCCTACTCCCAACACTTGGGCTAGGAAATCTTGGTCAGCACCAGTGATGTTCTTACTAAAGCAAACTGCTGAGTTTCTAAATTCACCCTCTGCCCGCTGAGTTCCTCATACTCGTTCAGGACCACAATTAGGTTCTCGCATTGCTGAAGCGATCCTCGAAGGAATAAATACGAGTCATCCGCATAAAACAAATGAGAGATCCTAGGGGCTTGAGGAGCCACTTTAATGCCCTCCAACTTTCCTTCTTCAATGGCCTTTCGAAGAAGAGCCGCAAATCCCTCCGTACAAAGCACAAACAGGAGTGGAGAAAGGGGGTCTCCTTGCCTCAATCCTCTAGAAGCGCTGAAAAACCCTGCCGACGAACCATTCATTAGAATGGAAAACGAAGCCGAGCTAAGGCATTCTCTTACCCAGCCAATCCAGGTCTGGCTGAAACCTAGTTTGGCCAGAATCGTAAGAAGAAAGGACCATTCGACTCTATCATAGGTCTTTTCCATGTCAACCTTCAAAGCCATGTATCCCTTCTTCCCCCGATTTTTAATTTTTAGGTAATGCATTAGCTCATGCCCCAGCAACACATTCTCCACTATCTAACGCTCCCGGATAAACGCATTATGTCCTTCCGACACAATCCGGGGTAGGAACGGGGCTAATCTTTCTGTCATAATCTTGGCAATCACCTTGTATACCAACTGGCAAAGGCTAATAGGCCGTAGCTGGCGAATAGTCTCCACATTATCAACCTTCGGAATCAGGGTGAGCCAGGTATGATTGAAATTGCGTAGGAGCTTGCCTGATTGGAAAAAGGAGCAAACAGCCTCAACCACCGAACTGCCCACAATATCCCAGAAGGCCTTAAAAAACTTCCCTGTGAAACCATCCGAACCAGGGGCCTGCTTAGAACCCATTGCAAAGATTGTTCTACGTACCTCCTCCGGGAGAACCGGAGCAGTCAGTCGGGCATTCATTTCATCAGTGACTTTATGGGATATCGGTAGGGCATCAACCCTGGTCCGCATATCAAGAATTTGGGTTTCTGAAGTGAAAAGAGTTTGATAAAAATCAATGGCCAAGTCCGCCTTCCCCTTTTCCTCCGTAATCCAATCCCCGTCCTCATTCCGTAGTCTCTCCACAAAATTCCTTTTCCGTCTAGCCCGAGTGACCGTATGAAAGTAGGAAGTATTCTGATCACCTCTCCTCAACCAGCGCACTCTCGACTTCTGCTGCCAATATAATTCCTCCGCTTCCCATTGACGACTCAGATCACTCTCCAGGACTCGAACCTCATCCCAATTCACCGGGGAAGCCTGCTTAATGCGGACTATCTCAGATTGGAGAGTTCGAATATTCCGGAGGGAGTTAGTCGTACCAGCCCTACTCCAATCATACAAAAGATGGCGCAGTCTTTTCAACTGGGTCCAAAGCTTAAACATTGGGGATCCCTCCACCTCCTCCACACACCAAACATATTTCACCATGGCCCTCACCTCCGGGTTATCAACCCAACGAGCGTCAAACCGGAACAGGGGTCGACAGAGCCGGGGATAAGATTTGTCAGACAACAGCAACGCCGTATCAGACCCTTGGTCCGTAAAATGTTTGACAATAGTCTCAGGGAACCGGTCTATCCACAGCTGAGAACAAAGGGCCCGGTCCAGCCTCTCTCTAACGCAAGCCTGGCCCATTCTTTTATTCGTCCAGGTGAATAGGTCCCCTTGGAACCCCGGGTCATGCAGACCCAAATCATGGATGAAATCATGGAGGGCCAACGATTGTCCCACACTCCAAGGGTTCCCCCCATCTTTCTCCCCAGCATGAAGGGTGGAGTTAAAATCACCAATTACCACAAACGACAATTGGATATCCTCACAAACTTGGCGAAGGGTGGCTAGCTGGGAAGTCCGAATCACATC